TCCTTCCTCTTCACTCCTTGAACAGTCAAATCTTGATGTCTTAAGTTGGTACGCCCCAAAATAGCCAGGACTTGGAAAAAACCCCAGCCCTGAGCCTCCCTGCGGTTGTCTCATCTGTCTAGCAGAGATGGCAATGCTCAGTTGTCCATGTAGGGATTCTGAGATGAAGGCTGTCATTTATTAAAGCCGTTTGGGGACTCGTGTGTGAGGGGGACATTCCTGAGTTGGGGAGCTGATGACAGTGAGTCTGGAAGACTTCATTTCCATCTCAGCAAGGCTGTTTTCCCTTCCTGCCAGGTCTGTAGCTGTTTGGCAGGACAGGGGAACCTGCAGAGCTGACTCTGACCTTCTGCGGATAAGAGAAATGATCATCTTTCTGAGAAATGTTCTGGCTCTTCTGATATATGGGAAACTTGACGTAAAAATTGTGGTTAGGATGTCTTTCACACCCTCCCTTCCCCAGGAGACACTGGAAGGAACCTCAATGTCTTATCTCTGTTTGTAAAACAGAGACCTGTACTCTCTGTGTCTTTGTTGATAATGATTGGGTGGCTGCCACTTACTTAACCAGTTCTGAGTGAAATGGTCCAGAACTGCCAGCATCATTGCTGTGCACAGGGTTCTGAACATAAAAAGTGCTTTGATGAAACAAACCCAGTAATTTCCATGGAACTGCAGTAAAATACCTCTTGTAGCTAATTATCTGCTTAGTTAACAGTAATACATGATTCTGTAAAAGCCTAAATAGATTAAACAGAAGTGGAAGTTTCCTGTAAAAGCCATTGAATGCTTTATATGCTAATCACTGTTAATTATTTAACGCAATGCTTTCAGGAATGATTGTTCTGATAACAGCTGAGAGGATCAGAAAGATTCAATTGTCATTCTGTAAAGACCTGTTTCTCCATCCATTTGCAAATTCTGGCATTCTTGCTAAGCCTCTGCAATGGGGTTAAGGGTTCCCCCAGAGTCAGAAAAGGTGAGTTATTTCAATAGCAGTTCCTAGATTATCCATGTAGTCCAGCCCGGTTCCCTGTCCGAGCAATTGTGCTTTGGCACTAGGATTTGGTGAGATTTTCTGCTGAGCCAGTCAAGCTGGTATTGTCCAGAGGGATCAGTACTGCATGAAGCAGGACCGCTGCTGTCCCAGGTCTCCGGACACTGCGTACGTTAAGGTAGAAAAGGATCCGAGATCCTTTAGCAGCAGCTATCCCCTTTGTTCCTTGTGGAAAGGTATCTTTTAATCCCAGACTATTGGCCTGGAAAATGTGTGGGAGAGTTAAATCACAAGGGATCTCCCCTACCACCACCCCCTGCCCATTTTCCAAATTCCAAGGTGGAAGGAAGCAGGCGGGAGTGAGGGAGCCGAGCTGCTGGTGCACACAGCAGCTGGAACAGGCTGGCACGGGAGAAGCTGCGTGGTGGGTCCCTGTAAAAAGCATGCTTGTTTGTGAAAAGAAACGTAAATTTTCCAGAGTGAATGTCCTGGGAATAGAGAGAAACAAGCATTTCTGTGTAAGAGAAGACAAACTCAGTAGGGAATGTTCTCTAATACACGCAATCCAGCGCAGCCCTACATGGTATTTGTTACCAGCTAAGCTTCAGGCTAAGGCAAGATTTGCAGGAAAGCACTATGGATGAAGCCAGTTTTTTTCAATGCGTTGGTAAGGAGGAAGATGTGGGTTCCTCTGTATCTCCACGGGTTTGCTTTGCTGTGCACATCAGCACTCGCTACCTTTTACTGCTGTCTCGGGTACAGGGAGCAGAATAGTCTAGTCCATCCTTCTGCCTCCAGGGCAGGATCCACACTACCTAAACCATGTGTGGCTAATGTCTGTCTCACCTGCAGTTTACCTCATTGTTTTATTAGCCTTGCTGTTTAAGATATTTTTTTTTTTAAAAAATGGAATCTGCAGGTTTAGTCCGTGACTATTTGCGCTTTTCTATTTGTAGCAATGTTCTGACATAGTCGCCATATCTATGGCTAAATAAGCCATTTCAGTTCTTTTCATTGTCATGTTTTCTAGACTTTGGATTGTTCCCGTTGCTTTCCTCTGGATCCTCTCCAGTTAATTCACATCGTTTCTTGAAATGAAGTGCTTAGAGTAGACATGCACTGTTTCAGTTCCCCTTTTTGTCGGCGGGGAAAGCTGTTGCCTTTGTGTGATGGAGAGCAAACCGGAGAGTGAGCTTTCCAAAGGAGTGCACGACAGCTGGGGTCTAGGGACTCATTTGAAGGTCTTATCTGGAACAGAAAACAGAAGAAAAATCAAGATATTTCATTAAAATAATAAGCTACATTTTATTATATGCTCCTTGGGGGTGGTGTAGGGGAAAAGTCCCTGCATGAACCCAGACCCCCGTTGCACTCTCAGCAGTGGGAACTGCCAGGAGGCATCTCTCCATCCATGTGCTTCTCAGCAGCGGGAGCACTACTGAGAGATGGTCCAGCCAAGTGACAGCCGTGAGACCTCTGTTAGTGACACAGGGTTGCTCCTGCCAGGCTCTGCAGCCCAGCTTTGCTTTATTGCTCTCACAGGGGAAGAAACCGAGGGTCAGACTTGCTCAGGGAGCTGGGGACCAGGTGCAAACTTCCACAGCACCGTTTCCACAGTGTCATTTTCAGCAAGTGACTGATAGTGGAAAAAACCCCTTGGAGCGGAGGAGCTTGTGGTTTATTTTTCTGTTTTTTTCAGAGGTGTTTTCAGTCACCTGTGGTTCTGGGTTTTGCTTTTTGTTTTAGCGGTGGAAGCCGTGCACTTATGTGTGAATGCTGAGGTGTAAAGGATTGCGGTTGTCTTTGTTCATTAAAATAGTTTGGCTTTTCCCCCTCCCCCCACCTGCAGCCTGTGACCCAAAGTGATATTTTATACTTCACTGCCTGCTTCTCACTGCCTTCCGTGAGCATCAACAGCTTCAGCCCTGACCCCTGTGTATTTATTCCATTTATTTGTTATGTTCCCCGTTACCTGTAGGCAGCTGCCTGGACTAATTGCACAGCTCTTTACAGCCCCCCGGGGCAGGCAGAGTTGGTGTCTGTGCATTACAGTGTATAAATCAAGTTTGCATTTCTTCACCTTTTTTCATGGTGTAGTCTTTCCTCATTTCCTTGTAATGAGGCCGTGGAGAATAGTCAGTGCGTTGTGTTATGACCTTTGCCAATATTTAATTATATTTGGCTTTATGGTGTCAGCCGTTGCCTTGAAAAATCCGCACAGATATCCTCAAATTCACATCATCAAGGAAGAGGTGTATGTAACACCTTCCAACAAGAAGAGCAAGAAACATGCATTTGAAGCAATGCAAATAAAGCCAAACACACCAGAAAATGTCAAAGGTAAAGTTACTGTTAAAACTGCAATTCCAAAGGGTGATCCTTTGGGACTGCAGTTTGCTATGGACAACTGGTGCTTGTAAATTACGATTCCAACACTTTTTTTGAAATATTGAAGCTGTGTTCCTTCCTGCCCTCTAACTCTTCTCTCTGCAATACTTACCACTAAGAAAAGGGAGAGACTTTACCCTACATTAGTCTTCTCATTCCTTTATTCAAAGTTGAAAAGTTACAGAAAGGAAAAAACACAACAGAAGAGAGAACTTCTACTGGCATGTGTTCTGTTGTATTCGGTGATAACAAAGGGGTAACAAGGCAGAGATTTTATATTTTATATAACTTAAGTAAAAATGCCTTTTCTGCCTAGAAAGTAAGAAAATTTAGTGGGAAATTTTTAACAAAAAATAACTGGTTTTGCACACTGTTAAGCTAAGGAAACATTACATCTTAAAGTAAATAAGCTTTACTTATTGTGTATCCTCTTCTCAAGTACTTGCTCGAAGATGTTTCAGCCCCCTTGGATACTCACTGTCAGTTCAAGTTTCCAGCCACCTGCAATGAATGCACCTCTTTCTAATCTTAATTTTATAAAGGTTGCAATTCTTGTTGATGTCTGTTCTAAAAATAAGTGTTGAACTTGAGGCTATTTGTAGAAATCTTGTTTTAAACTCTGCCTCCAAATGCTCTGTAACTTACCACCAGAATGACGGGCAATTCAGTACATTCATATGTTTTTAACCTCTTAAAGCAAATGCCTTTAAAAGGCTGCCTTAAACCAAGAAATAGCTGCATATTCTCTAAATGTGATAGATCAGGCAGCATAGGAGAAAAAAAAGCAACTTCATTGTTGTGCTTTGGATAGAAACTAGCAGCAAAACCCATTTGTCAGCCTTTTGTGATTTGTTATAATACGCTGGACCATGGAAGGTGCCAAATCAATGCACATTCCCTATAGAAGTGTTTCTACTTGGTTAACCAGGTTAAACCACTTAGCTCTTATTTTATTATCTCATTAGCAATCGAAAACCCATGTTTTAGGGCTCCGAGTCGATGTAGTTACATGGACAGCCCTTGAAATTTGCCAGAATCCCCTGGACTCCACTAATTCTAATTGAAGTTGGCACAAATTTGAAATGCAGGCAGCGATAAGCTGTTCCGAGTCTTGGAGCATTGCGGAGCAGAATGTGAAATGCTTATTATATGAGGTTATTTGATCAGATTTAACCATTTTAGGACAAAGATAATTTTGCTAGGAAGCTGAAAAATGGGTCCACATGATGATGTGCATTCCTCTACAAACCGGTATGAGATGCAAATATAATTGCAAATGAACTTGGGGTATTGAGCAGCAGACCTTGTCTGGTGTTCCTGGAGATGATCACTTGAGTCCTTTCAGTCTTTGGTTTTCTATGAAATTAAAATGAATTTTGGGAATGTAGGCTTGTCTTGCCTGTTGGCTGACTTTGCAGACAATAGTAGTCCCCAGCCATTATCCCCTCCTCCTTCTCCACTCCCTTCTCTGGTCCTTGTCTCCATTTCTCCATTTCATGTAGGCCTGGTACGATAGACTCTCCCAGCAGCCCTCCTCCCTTCCTCCCATGGATGATGCTGATTGTTGATGGCTTGTTTATATCACGAGTGCACTGATTGTATTTTCTGCTTTCAGTGATTTACGCTTCAACCACATCAAGGAGATACAACCTGGAGCTTTCAGGAGACTGAAGAACCTCAACACACTGTAAGTTCCACTCCGTGATCCTGCAGTGAGGATATCCATTTATTGCTTATGTTAGAACCATGCCCTATAACGGCTTAATGATGGCCGTGGTCTTTTAGTTATTTCAGTCAAGTTGTGCATATCCAACTAAAGCTTTAAAATTCTCTCTGTTCTACCCTGGATCATGTTTCTTACCCTTTTAAATTAAATGTTCAATTTAATAACTTTCGTTTTGGAAATTAACCTGTCCTTTTAAAAGAAAATTAAACATCTTGATGCATACTGTCACTGCCTGAGGATGTTTCAGCAGGTATGGCTTTAGAGTAGCCCATAAAAACAATTTTGGCCTGGGATCAAGATAGTGGAGAGATGCATTAAAATCTTCATCTTTTCTATAACCTCCTTAGTTGCTCTTCATGACTTTGAAGTGAGAGTACATCCTTCCAAATGCTGTCTTGTCCCTACGCCTTGCCCTAGAATAAATGCCTGTGCCTACCCTACTGCAGATAGGAATGGGAGTAGAAAGCAGTTCCTTCAGTCTTACATCCCAGCCAGAGCAGGCACGCTCGCGTCAGTATGATATACTACTCTTACTAACAAGTTTCTCATTCTGCTCGGAGGAAATAGTGGGAGCCTTTGCTGCTTCTCGCTGCTGTCAGACTGAGGGTTTGAAGATAGATATGAGTACATCTGCACCGTGTAGCCAAGATGTTGAAAACAAACCGGCTCCCAAATCAGGAACAGAAGCTGTGTCGGCACAGCACTGTGCTGGATGTAATTGGCCTGTTGAGACTCAGATCTGATTATTCGAGCTGTAACACAGTGCTAACAGCTATAAGATTTCCAGGTCCAAGCTTGAATCCCTCTGCAGGGCAAACCGGCTAGCTTGGGAACCTGCACTGCATGACAGACATGCTCGGATTCACTGGGTTTGTACATTCATGGTCCCAAATGGCAAGAGAAAGTCCAGACTGGTTTTTTTCTGTCTGACCTTGAGAGATCTGAAGTCCCTGATCCCATAAAGATGGCAGTGCTGAAAGAAGGAAGATCTGGGCAATGAGGAATTCAGTCAATTGTAAGAAGTTGTAGGAAGAATTGGAAATACAGCAGGACTTTATCCTAGAGACTTATTCAATAGTTATCTTTTAAAAATCAACATTTGCTAAAGATTGTTCCACCTTGCGTGTGGGACTGCTTGGCGAAACCGTGACTGCAGGATGCATCAAAGTACCCTGGTCGTGGCCCAGGCCCCAGCTTATAGGACAGGTGGTCAAGCAGTAGACTGGTAGAAAACTTTATTGCCAATGATGCTGTTCATTCAGAACACAAGAACAGCCCATGTTAGTCTCTCAAATGGCACCATGTGATACTTAATCACCAAAAGTAATAGAGAGAAAGGATACTTCGGATGGATTTCTGTCATTTGAGATAGGCTTAGATGGGATGATAAATGTGACTAAAATATCTAGAGAGAAAATAAGAGTCTGAGTCCATATCACAAAGCTCTGCTGAGGCATCTTGATCTCCAGACCTGCTCTTCCACCCCTGAAGCTCTCCTGAGTCGAGAAAAGAAACTGTTCCAAATTATGTCATCTCTGTGTGATGCAGACAGATGTTTGGCAGGCAGCACGGCAGGACCGCCAGGCTAGTTTCAGCCCTGGGGAAACTCAGGATGCTGGCAGGCCTTCACTTGGAGAGACGCTCCACCCAACCTGCGGAGCTTTGTAAGAGATCCCAGTTCCTGCTCTGCCAGTGCCTCGGTCTAGGCAGGTCCCTGACATCTGCAAGACTTCTGCCACTCTGCGTAAAGATAGATATAGATTCACAGCCTAGCTGAGATGGAGAGACCTGTCGTTCTCTAGTACCTGTTTACGCTTCGTGAATTTGTCCAATTCTTTTTGCTTTCTGTCTCCATACCCTCCTGGACAAGCAAATCAAGAACATGTTCATGGACAGCAAGTCCATGAACAGACACTACAGGGAATAGGCTTGAAGGTACCCCCTAACATCCCTAATCTCATGATTATGGGTGCCAAGACAGTAAGAGGAACATGTTTTACACACATAGTGGGCATGCTCTCCCTAAACAGTGTCCTGCGACCATTGTCAGGGCTGGAATACTAGACTAGGTGAAACATTGCTTTTAACAAAATGTGGCATTTTTATATTTGAATTCTGAAAATCAACTGCTTTTGCAAATGAAGCCTTTCCATTTAGATAGTACTTCGTATGCTTGGTTGTATTTCCTGATTTGGCCAGCAAACTGGAAAAATCAGTTATTCTCACACTCGCAGTAGTTAACTCCCACGGATGAGAAGCTTGATAACTGAATGAGAGAACATCAGACCTCGCACTGCTAAAGCAAGTTTCTCTCCAGGAACTCTGGTTTGTCCAATTCCCACATCAAAACTCACAAGAACTGAAGAATTTGCTGATGTTTCTTAGATGGTAAACTTTTGCCTGAGGATTCATACAAGTCTTCAAGTGGTAAAGAGAATAAATCCTTTAAAATCCCTGAGAGACTTGCTGGCAATTTTGTCCAGAATATTTGAAGCAAGAGGTTTGGAGGACAGAGTAGCTCTGGATCCATATGCAGAGCTCTGAGCTTGCAGCTTTCTGCCATGGGACTTAAATAAATGTCCCTTAAGAAAATAAATGCTTTTCAAAGAGCTTTTTCCTGCAGTGCTTTGGCCTGGCAGAGGAAGGGCAGGAGATTCTGGTGAAGTTTCTGTTCTGTATCTCCTTTTGGGCAGGATGGCTGTAGTATATCCAAGTTTGACAGTTTATAAGCCACCCTGATAAGGAAACCTTTGTAGCCTGCGTTGGATGTGGGGAGGTGGTCTGTGAGACTGACAGAAGAGGAGCCTGCTGTGAATGTCCAGTGGGGCTTTCAAACAGTTCAGACCTTCCCCTGGCTCTCCTCTCTTCTTTTCTCTCCCTGGTGTGGGAGATTTGATAAATTACAGAGCACAACTTTAAAATTAAAAACAAGAGCCCTGTTTGTCTGTGGAAGAGATATGGTCATTATATGTTTCTGGCTGGGGACTCCTAGCACAGCACCGCAGGTAATAAACAATTATCCTAAATGCTGCATCACTGGGAGCTTGCTCGTCATCTATCTGCAATGTTGTGCGCGTTGGAGAAGTCCTCTTTGGCTGAAGATCTTCGAGCTGTAAGGTTTCCTCGTCCCTTCCTATTGCCTCTTCTCAGTTCCCGTGCAGATGTTGGTGTCAGGATCTCCTTTGCATATTTTTAAACTGTTAATATGTCCTCTCAGGGAAAAAAATAAATAGAGTAGCAGGGAGAGGGAGGGGAAAAACTCTTGTATGCCAACCACAAAATAGCCACAGCTCCTCAACAGCTGTTTTGCTTGAGTTTGCCAACGCCAGCTGCATCACTTAACCCAACGTTAGCTCACAGCAGGTGGTGGACTGTGGAAAAGAGCAAACACATTGTGAGCCTGTGGTGAGGCATAGCATCTTGTTGCTTTCCAGTCGTTTCTCCTTTAGGTCATCTTTGGGTGGGAATGGATGACAACACTGCTGCATGACTGTCCCCTTATGTGTTCCCACAGGAGGTCAGCACCCTGCCATGGTGACCCAACTGGTCGATTCCTGTATTTTCAAACCAAGGCCATCACAGCCAAACAATTGCTGCTACTTGGGTCTTTCTAGCATCATCTGTAGAAATGTCTGACCCCAGGACCAAAGCAGTATTTCTTAACTTCTCCAGTAGGTATTTTGTTCTGCCTGTGGCATGGGCACCCTAGGGAACAGGGAATCTGTGGAGACCACATCATCATATGTGCTTCTGCCTGCGCTTTTGCCCCGTCGTTGCTCACATCATATTTCTCTTTCTGCTTAGGTGAGAGCAAAAGGCACTTCTGGTGAGCTCTGCAGCTCTCCTTTAGATGCTGCTTGTAAAGGGTTTCAGGATGAAGAACAGGAGTAATATGGAGGTTGTGTCTAACCCTCTAGTAGCTCTTGAGAGAACGTGTTTCTGCAAGCAAGGAGGGGATGTCGGAGCCTACTTGGATCTCAGAATAAAAGTTTCTCCCTCAAATATGGGAAATGGCTATTCCAGATCATTCTGTCAACAAGGGAGAATGCATGGCAGAACATTAAACTCACTTTTTCTCCCCCTTTAAATACACTACATGATGATTTCTATTAATGGCAGGAGGAAAAAAATAGCTGTTATGTCACAACGACCGTAGCATGTGGTTCGTCAAATGAAAAGAGGAAAGAGTACAAGTTTTGAGTCTGAATTCTGTACTGTCACATCATTTAATACATTCTTCAAAACAGAAAACGACTCATTTAATGTAACTTAAGCCTGTGCTTGGCAACCTGGAGAGAGGGTGAGGAAGGAGAAGGGAGGGGCGGCCAGGAGGACGTAAAACCTAAAGGAAACTGAATGCGAAATGTTCTCTTAGTGAATCTGGGCCAGATCTCATGGTGCCTTACATCTCAAGCCTCCCAGAAGAATTTTTCAGGAATAAAACCTGTATGATTGAGTCCACCTACTCATTTGGAGCTCAATTCACCAGCTACCACGAAGGGGAATGCCACATCATTTTGCTATCTCTTGATAAGCTCCAGGAAACTTACTTCTGATACTTTTCATTTAGCTTGTTTTGCTACAGGGTATACTTAAGACATGCATTAATAATGATCTTTCCAGCTTCTGTCTGCCAGAGCACTTATTCCCAACAGTTCTGGTTAGCAGCAGATCTTAGCTTTCAGTCCTCTTTAACATTAGCAGGAATTTGGGCGTTTTGCTATTGATTGCAGCTGGGATCGATATCCGGGTCATGCCAGGATTTTGCACACTTCTCTGCCTGGGTGAATTGCGCAGAAGTCAAGGAGCAGACAGCTGTGCACAAGCCATCTAAAGTCTTTATAGGAGCCAGATGTGCTGTCTTGTCTATGGATTTCTCTGAAAGGAGCATTTTGGAATATGTGGACTATGATGGACTTCATAAATTATCTCACTTTTGAGTTTTTTCCAGGGCATATCCTTCTATTACAATGGGGAATCCTGAGACAGGAAGCAGAGATGACTTCTTCCATACGCTTTTTAACCTTTAATCGGTCAATGAATGAATTTTTAAGTATCGGACGATAAGAGGCCTGCATTCTGCATGCCATCTGAATTTCCAGAATTTGTCTTATTTGGCTTGGATGACTAATTACACCCCCTTGAACTGTCTTAAAGAGCCAAGACAACAAAGCGGACTAGGTAAATGGTTTTAAATAGCACCAAAATGCAATCAGACAACATGTTGCAATATGAAATACCCCCGGGACTTCAGTCCCTGCCAGAACTCGCTGCATTAAAGATAAAGGGTCAACGAAGGAGTCCAGACCATCGTGGTGTGTAGGGCTGCTCAGGTTGTTGGCGTGTCCTTGCCTCCAGGACCTGGTTGTTGTTTCATGTTCCCTATGAAATGAGCGGCCGATGCCAGTTGTGTGGCAGGGGCAGGTGCTCGTGTCCATGGGAATGACGTTGGAGCTGGCACTGGTCTATCAGCTCATCTAGCGTCCTCAGAAGTGGGGCCAAGGATCAGATAACAGAGAACAAGCAGCCTTCGTTCTCCTCTGGCTGAAGATGAAAGTGTGCTGATAGAGGGCAGGGAAGGAAGCGTGCACGGTTGGTGCCTGTGTTGTCTTTGTCCTGTGGGTAAATAGACAAAAGCCCTCTCCCGCACTGCTCTCAAGCAGTTATTTCCAGTTCTTGGGTGTTCAATCATCAAATAAACCTTTGGGTTGGTGTTCATGGGCTGTATTTCCACTCAGCATATCTGGCTGTCAAAGCAGAATAGTGTGTTCCAAGGACTTGACATCATTTTTGCATCCTTATGAGTGAAATCGGGTTGTTTAACCTCAGCCGTGTGTATTGAGCCATTGCTTCCAGCTGTGCAGAAACTTTCCAGCAAGTTTCTGCCTTAACCTCTTCGGGCTGCTTGTCCACAACCCTGGCAATGTGAAATTTGGTAGTAGAGCCCATGTCCATGGTAGCAGGGCAGCTAATCAAGAGAGGACCGTCCAATCAAGAATACTGAGATTTTTCTCAAGCCCTTACTGTTCTGACTTCCAAAGATTTCTTTACACTCAAGTTTCTTAGGTGCTTTTTGGACCCTTAATGTAATACTCTGCCTGAGAACTAGGTGTTGGAAAGCTGGTGCGGCTCAGGTGCCTGGCGGTAACTTGTGAAACTGCCATAACACGTGTGTTTCTGGCAGCTTTTATCTTTGCATCCCTGAGGCATTTGATTTAATCTTCATCTTCTTTTCCCACATGTTTTCTTTCATTTCTCCTCCCCTCTTTGTCTTTTCTTTCTGTTCTTTACCTGCACAAACTGTTCTTCCGAGGAAGGGACCTTTGTTTGTAGTGCCAGAGGCTGGCTGAGGCACTGTCTACCCTATTTTCTCTAGCAAAGAGGGGCAGAAGATTGGGCTTTCCTGCTGGGAAAGTGCTGAACTGTCTTCTCACCTGCTGTCTGGTGACAGATCATTTCTGAGGAGCATAGCTATCACAAAAAGGAGCTTGTAAAGTAGAAAATCCACATCTAATACACGTGTTGAATTTGACCTGAAATTGTAAGGTCTGGCTGCTTGCAGAGGGAATAGCAGTTTTTCTTACAACACTAGAAAAACAAATCTTTGCAGTACACGGTCACAGCTCTCCTCTTCATCCGCATCTCCATTTAGGAATTTTAAAAGTAAGTGTAGCTGGTGAAATCCTTGCTCTGAGCTATTGGGCTATGAGCTCCATGTGGTCAGGTTTGCCGAATCTGAACATCAGTGGGCAACCACAGTGAAAGACCCACAGGAGTGTGGTTAGGCAGCCACAATGAATAGTTAAATGTTGTATATTAAAGAGCTATTTATAAGAGATTTATTTCATTTTCTTGGTGTCGGGCTTGGCAGTGGTTGCAGAAGAGGCTTTTGTAGCATGCAGCTGCATGGTTACTGCTGTTGCACACAGCGTGGTTATTACAAGGTTGAGTTGTGTTTCTGGTCATTGGCACCGGCTGTCATTTGCATGCACAGTCATGGCAACTGCACATACAAGTCAGAGATTGCTTGCCAATGCAAAGTTGTCCATAGGTTTTGTATTAAAATCTGGCACAAAGCTCTCTAGATCGAAAGAGGCTGTCTCTGAATAGCCTCCGGAGTCAGATCTGTATTTATTTATTTTTCATTTGCACATATTAGTATACAAAGTGATCAGAACAACGCATTATCATTTTATAACTCCTATATAACTCCACTGTGGACTGGCATTTTAAACCATGCACTCTTAAAAACTGGCTCTGCATGTCCCTGCTCACACATTGTTGAACACAACCATGCACCTTCAGAAACTGTTGTGCTTGTACAAGAGTGGCAGCAATAATTTAATTTCTCCCTCTGCTCCACTCCCTTCTGCCTGTCTCCCTTCCCCTCATCCCTTTCCTGGCCAAAATTGTAACTTTGGGATGAAAACCACTGTGGCAAAAGGTAAAGAAAAGTCTTCGAATGTTGTACATATTGGATACACTTGGCACCTCTGGGCAAGAAACCTTTTCATTGACTTAGCTGGTGTGAGTATCTAAATTTGATCTGCTAACCTCTTTAAATCTTAAACTCTGGAAAACACAGATTCAGGATTTTTTAGTGGGCATCCAGGAGCACAAATGCCACAAGTCTCACATGTACTGAATTCACCAGTTGTGTTTTTCTTCTTTTCAGGCTCCTGAACAATAATCAGATAAAACAAATTGTGAGAAGATCCTTTGAAGATCTGGAGAACCTGAAATACCTGTGAGTTGGTAGCTCAGTAGTTTCTTAACCTCTTTGAAATTTAACAACCCACTTCTAATGTTTGCCAGTCCAGGACATATTTTCTGTGGTCAGAATTTCTGGATGTTAATGCCACAGCTGTAAAACTTTGCCCTTGAACCCAATCATCAAGCTCTGCTTTGGGTTGAGGTTCATAACCGTTTCTTGTGTCTTTTTTAAAACACAACTGCTGAACAGTTAGCCTAATCCTTTTTTTCTTCTCTCCTTTTGAAAGCTACCTTTATAAAAATGAAATTCAGAGCATCCAGCAACATGCCTTCAATGGGCTCCGTTCTCTGGAACAGCTGTAAGTACAAATGAGCCTTGTTTGTTGCTGAATGTGATGTGCGTAAGAGCTGATTTATTGGCTCCTCTAACCCAAGTGCTGTGTTTCCAGTAGTGGAGAGTACCAGACACTTAGCAAGCAGTAGGATGAGGCTTCTACTGTTTTATCATCCAGCTTTGCAAGACTACACTGGCTTTGTTTGAAAACAGCTGGTCCCAGTACTGATTTTGGTTAGTTAATGCTGAGGTCTCTTCGTACTGACGTCGCATATATTTTCTCCTGACCCTAAACCTCTGGAGCATAGGAAGAGCCCAGCTGTGCTTCTGATTCCCTTTACGTCCAAGGACCTTAGGAGGGGAGGAGATAGGTGTCTGTAGGATGGCTTGAAGCAGAAGGCAGCTGGCCCGCTGCGTTTATGTCTGCTGGGAGTGCTGGAGCAGGGCGTAGGATCTGGCCGTTTGCTTGAATTGAGGGTGGTGGTGGTGAAGTTTCTCTCTTATCCAAACCTTTGCTGAAAATGAGTGGATGAAGTGCAAGCTGAGAGCTGGGGCAGCAGGGTATTTGTGGGAGTGATGGAGGTGCTTGCATGCTGTAAAGCATCTGGAAGTTGCAACAGGGAAGATGATGGATCCAAACAAAAAAAGTAATGACCTTCCCTCCAAGCTGCGTGGCACTCTGGGATGAAAGGAGCCTTGCATGTTTTCCTGGCAGCTGGAGCCCTTCACAGTGACACTCTAGCAGTCCTTATTTGCTCCCCTTCTGTGTATTGCAAATCTGTGCTGTTTATTCAAAGAAGTTTTGGGTTTTGACTCTTAGCGCTCCATGCTTAAGGTGCGATGGGAAGACTGAGGCCTGACTTTTCTAAAGTGTCTTGCTAAACTGGGATTGAATTTTTCATGCCAGGGTTGTGATATATTATGTGCATATGTGTAGATACATGTGTACATATGGAGAGAGTGTGAGCATGGGTATTTGAAGTACAGGGATTATTTGCATCATTGGAGAACTAGGACCAAAGGTGAAACCGTTCTAATTCATGGATTGTGCCAAATGACAGCGTTTATAGGGCTGGAATGTAACTAAGGAACTAAGGATTTTGCTGTGAAAGGAATAGGATCCAGCTTGTTTCCCAGGCCGACGGCAGAAGTGAACAGACTATAACGGGAAGTTTCAGGCAAGCTTAATAGTAGGTGTGCTAGCAGCCTCGGTTTTTCATCAGCCAGCTCAGCAAGGATGCCTGGGAGAAAACATAGGAAGCAGATACTGGCTCAGCTATCCTTAGAGAAGAGATGATGGTGGCCACAGTGATACTTTAACAATAAGCGTTCCAGACTTGATGTCACGAATAAAAGGAAAAAAAAAAAGCACAACAAAACCACAAAAACAACAAACAACTCTCTGAAAGTCCCATCTGTTTTCAATCTCAGGCAGGCATGTTTCCAAAAGATTTAGCTTTGCTCAAATCCTACCCCATTTTCCTGTACCCCACAAGCCAGCTTTTCAAGAAAAAGTATAACCCGATTGATGGACAGTATCAGATGCTTTCCTCAAGGTCCAAAGCAATGACAGCAGACATCTGAGACTTATTAAAGCACGTACATCTCTCCCCACTGTTGCCCTCCACTGCAGAATCTGAGTCACCATCTTTCAGTTTGTGTTCTGATGGTGGACCATTTATCATGAACAGTTTGTGTTCTGATGGTGGACCATTTATCATGAATCCTTCCATTACAAATCAAACAGCCATGTGGTGGCTTGGGCAATTATTTCTCAATGCAGTCAGCTACAATAGCAGAATGAGTATTTGTAGATCCGTGATTAATCAGTGTCTGCTGTGAAATTTATGCCTGTGTAAAATAAGGGGGAAGAGTTTAGGCAACTTTGAAACCATACTGAAAGGCATCTGAAGGTCAGGAACATGTCAGCAATGCCGGTGAAAGTCACAGCGAATGGGAACAGGGAGTCCCAGGTATCGTGGTGTGTTGCAATGCAGACCCCAGGTTTTCTTTGCTGATGGTAAAGGGGTGACCTGGGGCAGTGCAAAAGGTCTCCCGGGTCTCTGGAACAGCAGGTCACACATGAGATTCTAGTGAAACTGAAACCACTAACCTGTATTAGCAAGAACTGGGCTGTTCACATTAATGTGCTGTTTAGATCCAAGTGTTCGGCTGACTGAACCATGTCTGTCTTTGGAGCCTGTGCCTTCCCCCCACAGAAACAGAATAGCTCTATGTCAGCTGTTTTGAGATGTTTCTGCTCTTGCTGGGTAGATGCACATGCTGGGAGCCCTGTTAGAACAAATGCAGGCTGGAGGAGACCTTTGGATGTCTCCGGTCCCACCTTCAGCAACAAGCAGGACCAATTTCAAAGTTTTATTGGGTTGTTCTTTTTCTACAAATTAACTCTGAGCAAACTCATGATCCCACTCAGAAATGTTGCAGTTCTGAGGCTGGGAACAAGTGCCTTGTAGTAAGGCTATTTCTTCCTCCCCGACGATCCAAGGATGTGTTGGGCAATGCCGAGGCTCTAGGGGAAAGGCAGGGAAAATTCCCGTATGCTGCTCAGATGGGAGCAGCTGCTGCTGGCTGTCCATGGCCAGCGGTTTCATCCTGACCCTTAACAGTGCAACAGGCAATTCACAGTGGTGGTGGTGGTGGTCTTAAGCTTCAGGGAAGAGCAAATCTCTCCTCCTTTCTGTGTGTGTTTTAGTTTATTAAGAGAGGGAGTAGATAATTGACAGGATAGGGAAAAGCCAGTGTTGGCTGCATGTGGAAAGTGGAGATGCTAAAGTGGATGCTGGCTTCTCAACATCTGCCCTGAGATGTGTCGTGACCTCTTGGTGGGCATTGATCTGGAAAGACCTTCTGTCTTTTAAATTGCAATTTGTAAGCCTGCCCTTTTCTGTGTGACAGCTACCTGCATTTCAACAACCTGGAAAGTCTGGAGTCGGAGACTTTTAGTGACCTGCCTAAACTTGAAAGGCTGTAAGTAAAGAGGGGACCTTTCTTGTGACTAAGGGGGTGAGGAGAAGGGGAAAACCCCCTTCTTTTTGTGTAACAGTTTTAGTAGCATGAATTGTGATCTTCAAAATGGAGGAAAATGGAAAAAGAAGCTTCCTTGAAGAAGGAGATTTTACGTACTTGCCAAGTAGAAGGGTTACTGAAAATATGAAGGGAATTTCCCAATTGTGTTATGTTCACGTTACCACCTAAATAGGGGTAAATCTGCAGAAAGTCTTATAGTTGGCCAAGCCAGCTGAAATTTTACTCTGACCATAAGGTCAACATTAGTCACTGTTGGGCAGTGTGTACAAAAAAAAGGGGGTGGAAAAGGAATAAAGTCAGAAGAAATTCTAACAAGAAAAACACGCATCCTTCTTGAAAGCAGTTAGGAAACTACGTCCTGTGTGTCCTGCTCCCCAGGATTGCTTCTAGTAGTAATGTAGCCACTAGGACAAAAGTTCATATGATGGTTCCCACTCCGTGGTGAAACCAACAGACCCTTCTATGCTGCATGGAAATGTGCCTTATATCCATCCATGCTAGGAAAATAAAATCATGGGATCCAAACACCCTTAGGAAAATTCAGACCTGGATCAGTACACCATGGCTGATCTCAGCCACTGTATTTGATCCAAAAAAAATTCTGGATTTAAATTTTAGGGGAAGGTTTGTCAGCATCCAAACTGGGCAACTAGGCTGAACTTGTGCGTACACGTGCGTGTGCAGACATTTGCACGCAAGATGCACTGCTTTTGTATTTCTTTCCTGTTCCACCGTCTACTAATGAGTTTTGGATGTAACTGACATAACTAAATTTCCCCCTCCGTTATGGGAATGGAGAGTTAATTATCCCATCTTGGTCCCCACCAATGCATTTTAGTGCAGTCAGGGTTTTTTCCTAAGAACTGGGGAGTCTTGTCTGTGTGCTAAGACTAGAAGTGAGAATTTGCATCCGCTTTGTTCAGAGGTAAGCCCAGTTTAGGCTGTTGTCTGAATTAGATTTATTCATGGATTTGGGTTAATAACTACACTGAGTCTAGTGCATATGTTGTCTAGCGTCTTCTGCTGGAGCCTTACTTCAACGGCTGCCCTTGTAAAATTGCCCCATCTTCTGCAGGGAGGAAAAGAAAAGGTCCCTTCTAAACTGGAGCTGACCCAGGCACAGAAAACGTAGGGTGGGTCCCGTCTGTGGGGATTTTGTGCCCTTTCTCCTCCCTTTGCAGAGCATGAAGCAAATTAACTTTAAGGTTCCAGTTTAAATCTGTTACATCACATCTTGAGTCACCATTTCCACTCCACACCCGCTCTCCACTTTGGTGTATTGCATTGCACTTGCAAATGAATGAAATCGCTATAGCTCATGGAAACAAGCACAATAAATTTAAAAACTAAGCTCCATTTTGATGAGCAGCCTTTGTATTTAAACTGAGTTTTGACCTGGGATGTTATCATCTGTGTAGTGCAAATACTGAATAATGTTTTGGCATGGGTTCTCCTACTGCAGATTCTTGCACAACAACAAGATTTCAAGGATTCATCCAGGGACATTCTCTCAACTGGAATCCCTCAAACGGCTGTAAGTAAAAAACATTGCCTGCAAAGAGCAATTGTTTATCTTTGATCAGATGGCCAGGACCTGAGGAAAAATGTGCCTGGTTGGCAAAGCTTTTAGTTGTTGCACTTCTAAGGCCACTGCTAAGTTTATAAAACAGTTTTGATTGGACATGAGAGCTGATTTAACCAGTTAGTAGTTTCTTCTAGTGTCTATTTATAATCTAACTATAATCTTCTTACAGCTCAGTAATAACATAGGAATGAACATTCCTGGAAAGTCCTCACAATAGTTTGAACCCATAAAATGTCCTTCAAAAATGTGGGGAATCCAGGTGACAGATATGACCTTGGTCATACCTTCAAATCAGTATCCTAACATGGAAGAAAAATCAGAGTCATAAAAGAAAATGCTTTTTTCCAGAGATTGAAAATACTCAGAGGGGTGCCAAGGTGCACAATTGAATGCCCTGGTTTGTTATTCTCACGTAACCTGGCTGTTTCTTAAGCTTTCTTTTTGCTTACTTAAACCCCCCAGAGCTTTGCTTTGTTTGTCTTTTATGATCTCTGGAAATAACTTCTGTGATGCGTTTTGGGGGAAAAAGCAAAAACTAAAGAATTTTGGTGTTCTGCCACGATTTTAAACTACAAGAAAATAATTTGTTTCTCACTGGAGCTCTCTGTGATTTCTGCAAGCAGGTAAAATGCTTTGCTTTTCTTTAACAGGGAATAACTTGTGAAATGTTGTCTGTACATGTCAGAGAAAAAGGTTGGGTGTCTATAAAATTCTGTATAATAGCCTCGTGCAAAATCTCACATTCTCAAGTGTTTGTCCCTGGAAACATTAGACCCTTCTTCCATATATTTTTCAATGGCCCAGACCCATCTACTGTAAAACTGTCAGGGGGGAGGAGGCATAAACTAATCCCCCCTATAATCTTTATTTATCCTTATGCATAGCACTGCACATAGGAATGAAGTCAGTGGAGGGAAAAGCACGGGTGCGCTGGGAGGTCACTGGTGCTCCATTCAGCATGGTTCAGGCGTATGATGCAGTAATAAAAGTTCTTATGGTTGTGCAGACATGCTACAACCTCTAGCAGCTGTTCACAAAAAGAGGCTCATCTGATGCACACATTAAATCAAGGGGGAGTGTTTTGGAGCTAAAGGAGAATGGAAAGCTCTAACAAAGGCAGTGTTATCTGCTGTTCTTCTGGAATTTGGTAAAGGTTGAAATCTCTATCCTGGGGAAAACTCCAATATTTCATGTCTCGCTCTGCTCAAATTAAGCCAAAAACGTGCAATCCAGTTTACAAAATAATTTTCATTTGAAACTGGAATGGCTGATGGGTAATGTTAGATTTTCAACTAAATCCTTCTGACTTGGTTCAGCATCCTATTTAAACGTTGTGGGAATGAAATATCTCAGATTTTAATTTGGGATATAATCAAATGCAGGGAAAACCAGCCAAGTGATCCTTCACTCCTCCGGAGGACTGTTCCCCTGGAGAAAGAGTCAGCAGTCAGAGGCTGGGAAATGAACTGCCTTTTCCTTGGTCTTGCAGGCGGTTGGACTCCAATGCCTTGCTTTGCGACTGTGACTTGATGTGGCTGGCTGAGCTGCTGAAGAAATACGCTGAGCAGGGCAGTATCCAGACAGCCGCCACCTGCGAGGCTCCTCGGGAGCTGCACGGGCGCTCCATCGTCACCTTGACCGCACAGGAGTTTAACTGCGGTGAGCGAGATCAAACCCCTCCACTGGACATCCTCAGCCAGTGGAGTTGAGCTTTGCTCTAGGGATTGCTTCCTCCATCCCTTTCCCTCCCTCCTCCCTCTCCTGGCATCCTGCTTTCTCCCTCCTTTTACTGCTGAAATGGAAAAGTCCCTATGGGGTCACATGAGCTACGAGGATAACGCAGAGAAAGCTGACGGTCACGTGGGGGTTGAAAGCAGCTCTGTTTTGGTTGGCGGGTGTCATCTTGGTTTTTAGATAGAGTAGGGCCAGTAAAGGACCTGCTGCAGTCGGTGGCTAACCCAGCAACCAGAAGAAATGTTCCACATTGGGCTGAACAGAAAGGGAGAGCTGCAATGGCTGGAAACACAGCTGAAAACCTAAGCAAACTCCTAGTAGATATGTTGCTGAATGCTTTGTTTGACTGTGGTAGCATATTGTGTTTGTTAAGCTGTTACTCTTCAAATTTAGATAATTGCTCACTGAAAAATGCCATTTTGAAATGAAAGGTTTTGTTCTGAAAAAATCCAAAGTTAAATATTTCATATAGAAAAAGACACAACTCTGACTTTTAAGTGTGGGCATCAGCAGAGGATGGCACAAGTGTCAGCTGTGGTTCCCTGATCCTTCGCTGCTGGTACAGTCAGTTTGACATGTTCCCAGTCACCCGGGCCAGCTATTAACATCTCTCCTGCATATGCCAGTCCAGCTGTGTGCGTGGCCATGCTGTGAGCCAGATGTGTGAGATCAGCTGGATTTTGAAGAGCTTTCCCTTGAATTCAGCTTTTCTTCTGGGATTTTTTTTTTTTTTTTAAATAAATTGTGACCATTTCAGAGCTTAATTTAGGGCATAGCCATGCAAAGAGTTGAATTGGCACAAATAGGTCTGTAACGTCAAGGGATGGGGGAATAGGAAGGGTCTACTGTAAGCAGCTGGGGACACATGGAATAGGACCGGCTGCAAGTGGATGTCCTGCACAACGAGCTGTCCCCAACACACCCGGTGCCACGGTACAGCCATTAATGTAAATTTGTTCTAGTTTAGGCATGGGTGCACAGTGGGATGTCTGTCAAATTAGCCAGCGCACCTGGTGGGAAGATTTTGCTGGCATTAGGCTTTTACGCTGGTATTGTGCCAGCTGGGAAAGACAAATGATGCGTAATTCAGCATAAAGCTCTAATGATGTGGGCAGCTGATGTTTGAGTCTGTACGAAGCCTGCTGGCATCAAGTTAACTAGCCACTTTTTAGCAGATGTGAACCAGTGGAGCAAATCTGCACTGGATCAGCATTTTGTACCATGGGGCTGTGGTGGGTTTGGTACTGCGCTTGTGTTACTACTGGGGACAAGTGGCCAAGCCATTAACTTGCAGTCCGAGGAGTAACCTTCCACTGGGGAAGGTGGCAGGTTCTCTCTTATGAATAATCCAGCTGGTTTTACTGGATTACTGGTGAGCTTACAGATTTTTGGATGGGTAAGTATTCTGCTGAATCAAGATCAAGCGCTCAGACCACATAGATAAATTCCTTCCTATTTTAGCACATCCTTTACATGTTTAACTTGCTTTGTGCTTGGGTACATCTTAAAGTGAAGCACATAGTGAAAGGCTTGGTTGAATAGGGGTCAGCTGATGCATGAGGGACATAATGAACAAAATGCTGTCAAAAGGGAAGTAGTGCGATTTGCAGAGAGCTGGCGCTATGTTCAGATGGAGCAGGCAGTTGCTGAGAGCAGCAGGCTGTCAGGGGCAGAAAACCCAAGTGAGGATGCCACTGACTTCTTCACTTATTTTGGGGGAGACAAGGGCCAACTCTTGGGGCAGCTGTAGTGAACCAGTGTACAACCAGGTCTTGTCTTTTCTCAGTGCTGCCTGGGGCTGTGCGGGGAGCTGACCCACTGCCCAACATGCAATAGAAACAGCCGCTTCGATTCTCCAGGGCTTTTAGCGTGCTCAGATGAACAATGCTATTCCCTCCCTGATATCATTAGTTTTCCTAATGTTGTCGAGAAGTCTTGGGGTGGCTCTGAGTGGATGCCATTGTGCCTAGGGCTCTGCTGGTGCCCGCTTGCTCAGGGGTTGCGGGGTGGGTGTTGTGTTACCTGCTGCTCTCTGGTTGGGCTGTAGGTCACTTTGTGCTGCTCTAGACTGGGTTGTGTTAAAACGGTCTTTTGCAGAGAGGCCTCGCATAACCTCAGAACCCCATGATGTCGACGTCCTCTTGGGAAACACAGTTTATTTCACCTGCAGGGCAGAAGGCAACCCAAAGCCTGCAATTATTTGGCTGCACAACAAGTAAGTCGCACACAATGAGCCCTGGGGTAGCAAAGGTTTTCAAGCACCAAGCTCTTCAGTGACTGCCTGTAATTACAAAAGTTGTTTCATGCAACCTAAAAAAAACTAACCCAGACATGGATATTCCATGGGTTGTATTAACCTTCCTTTTAATAGAATTCTCTGGTGACCACGTAATCCAAGTGGCGTTTTCATCTGCATTTGAAATGTTTCATCTGCATTTGTAATGGATTCCAAGAGCTTATAACTTTCCCATAAACATACTCTGCAGGCTGAAAGCAATTGTCTTTTGATCAGAAAATAAAATTAGTATTACATGTTTCTCTAAGCCACCATGCTTGCCATTTATTAACTGCTGAAATGCTTCTAGTCTCGAGGCTTTTCTCACTGAAGGCCTAGTGTGCTGGGAGAATGGCTCATTTTCAAAGGGAAAAATCACTGGTCTCCATTGAAAGACAGACCTTGCAGAGTAGTGTATAGATTGTCGTTCTGTACAGCAACACTGAAAAAAAGTATGGCCATGCTAGATGCCAAAGCATTTCTGGAAAATGCTGCACAATAAAATATTTTGTGCTCAAGCAGTTGCCCGCTGTGGAAGTGAAGTTACTTTGCTGCTTTACAAGCTTCTTGTCTGTGGGAGCCTGAATAGGGCTCAGTTATTAATAAAAATGATCAATGTATGCTTCTTCAGCTCACTCCCCACCAGGCAGAGTTTCAGCACAGAGCAAAAGTTTATGGCTGAGTTTAGTCCCCCTGGAAGGAAGGTTTTGTTAGGGAAATGCTGGCAGGCTCCCAAAGATAGCATTGTAAGAGGGGTAATGATAATAAATGTTCTGCAAACAAGATATGACCAGAGCGAGGAGACATCAGGGGAATTAAATAAATGCCCAGCAAACATATTAGTTTGCATAGTGGATTCAGCCTTTGTCCTAGGGGGAGAGAGGTCCCTTCTCCCTTTTCAGTCATCTGCAGCCATCCAAGATTCCTTCGTGCTGGGACAAATAGGATGCAGCAGTGGGACCTTCTGCTGTGGGCTGGGATCCAGGAGTCGCAGGTCATTGTAGAAAGATGGAAGATGTTTCACAGCTCTTGAGTTGGGTTGGAGTCCAAGCTGTGTTGGGGTCCCACAGTGACTTACTCAGAGCTTTTTGACCCCCTGAGGCCTTTGAGCCTGTTTGAATAGAAATGGCTGCACACAAAAACAATATTAATTCATTATTGTATTTGCACTTAGTAAATAATGAGAACAAGCTTTCCGGGCCTAGATGCCCTGACAATAGCAACGATGCTATTGCATGGGAACAGTATGCTCTCCTGATGGGCTGTAAATGTCATATGTAATCAGTAGTGAGAGAAAAAGTAGCTCACCCAGGGAGTAAATCAGAGCTGGAACTGAAGTTCTGTGCTGTAAATCATAACTCTTGCTATAAATTTCATGAAGTCTCAGAACAGCTCCAAGGAACACATGCTTACTGCAATGCATGCAAAGCCTCCTCACTCCCCAGCAGCTTGCGTAAGACCACCAGTCTTTACTCCTTTCAGATTTTGCCTATTTGCGGCTGTTTTTCAGTAATGAGATCGACATGAAAGATGACAACCGCCTGAACCTGTTGCAAGATGGTACCTTGATGATCCAGAATACCAAGGAGTCGGACAAAGGCGTCTACCAGTGCATGGCCAAGAACATAGCTGGGGAGGTCAAGACACAAGAAGTCGTGCTGCGCTATTTTGGCGCCCCATGTAATTGAGCTTTGTGCACCCCTTGAAGGCCCAGCTCAGGTTGGGGCTGGGAGTGGAGTTAAGTCAGTCAGCTCCAGCTTTGTATGTGCCAAGATGTTCTTGGCGTGCTGGGGAAGAGAGCGGCCAACAGTGTAGCGTGGTCTGAGCTTTAGGGGGTCCCTTCACAGGAGTGGGAAACTGGGTGTTAGAGATTGAAGGTAATTTGGGGCTGGGGAGGGAGTTTGGAGGCTGGGATGAATTCTGCAGCACAGAGGTATCAAGGGTGAAGGGGACAGAGGAGGGGATGCTCCAGCACTGACTGGGAGGGAGGAGGTGGTAGGAAGTAGTGCTGGAGAAATTTCTCACAGCAAGGATTCGGAGGTCAGGGAAGAGCCAGGTGACTGCTAGCTGGGTTGCATGAGTAGTCCAAGCAATTTCTGCCCATAACTGAGCAGGCAGCAGAACTTCTGGTTTCTGAAGCACTCGTTTCCTTCCAGCCAAACCCACTTTTGTGATCCAGCCGCAGAACACTGAAGTGCTGATTGGGGAAAGTGTCACCTTGGAGTGTGGGGTCTCTGGGCACCCCCACCCTCGCATCAGTTGGACCCTTGGCACAGGCTCTCCTTTACCGCAGGATTCCCGTTTTGCTATCACCAGCTCTGGAGGACTCTTCATTCAGAACGTCACCTTCTCGGACCAGGGGCAGTACAACTGCAATGCCAGCAACACTGAGGGATCCATCCAGGCAACAGCAAGGATCATAGTGCAAGGTGAGGAGTCCCAGGCTGGTGACATTTCTGGGATAAAGTGCTTGGTTGCGGGGGCTGTATTTAAGCCCCGTGACTAGTTCTGCTCCCATGAACTGAGAATTAACCCAAGCTTGCTGCCTGAGCTTTTCCTGCTGCTCAGTCATTGCTTTCCCCTCCAGATTCTCCCAGGTTTCTCCTCATCCCCACTGATCAGACAGTAACTGAGGGACAAAGCGTGGATTTCCCCTGCTCTGCTGAGGGTCACCCTCCACCCGTGATTGCCTGGACGAGGGCAGGTACTGCCTCACTTGATTCGCGATTTCTTTCTCTCCCATGCCACCATCCATGGGGTGTGGGTGAGAACAGCCAAGCTGATGGTCCAGGGCCATGACTTACAGTGGTGACGCAGGACAGAAGGTGGTCAGCACAGACCTAGTCACACTGGGAGGTATGTCGTACATCACCAAGGATGATGTTAAGCACTGAGGAGTGAGCCTCCCAGGTCTTTGACACACTAAGTCATCGTGTCCGAAGGAAGGCGTGTGCTGTTTTTCATCAGCATGAAACCCATGGAAAGCCTCAAACTTCCTCCTGTGGTGGCTTCCTACCTCCTTTGAAAAGGCAGGGTCTGGACACTCCACGTCGGTGGGTATCACCATGTGCCAGCTCTCCGTCATTGTCATTGATTTGCTCCTCTTGGGAAGCGCGTTGCAGGAGAGCATCGCTGACCGCTGACACACCTCTGTGGTTTCTTTTAGCTTAGGAAAAACCACTTTGGGCCAACAGGTGGTGGTGAACTTTTACAGTCTCCAATGATAGTTAGTGCTGGCTCCGCTGAACTGATCCCATCCAACACTTTCTGGGACAGAAGCCAATAACGCTTGGCCCAGAGGCCCTCCAACTTTTCGTTATGCTTCACAAGCCATAATTAATGGTTTAGTGCTGTGGAGAATTCATGGCTATTGTATTCCAGCTTCCACAGCAATAGCCCTGATGCAGACCAGCGTAAGAAGAACCAGCTGAAATTCACCTTCACCAGCATGTTCTCCATCTCCTTTAACCTGTTTTCCTCCACTGCCCAGATTTCAGAAGCTATCTCTTAGAGATATGGAAAGGAGCACAGTGACAAGAAGTAAGGTTAACAACCTCTTTGCAACCAGGTTTGCTAGGTCACTCAGTGATCCCCAGATCAACCAGACTTTACAGTGCTTTCACAAAAGGCATGCTAAGAGCAAGACAAGAGGAGGAGATGTGATGGAGCATTGCTCATTCTCAAAGCCACTTTTGACAGTGTGGGGAGGATTCAGATTCCTTTTGGTATTTGGGATGAATAAACAGAGCCCTAATTTGGAGGAAAATGGAATATTAAAAAAAAAAGTTGCTATACTGAGAAGTTCTAATAATTTTATTTGGGTTTGGAAAAGCATTTTAATTTTGAACTTTTCTCCTTAAATAGAGGAAATATTGAAACAACACAATTTCCAAACCAAAGAAAATCAAAATAATGAATTTTAAAAGACAGTGCTAAATATTTCCATTTATTTGATTAAACAGCCAGTTTGGATAATTGAACACAGATTTGCTATCTGTCAGGTGTCACTAAATCTGCAGTTTGCACTTAGAAGAGACATATGAGGAAAAGAAAGAGTACCAGCTCTTTTCGAGTTGCTCAGACAACTCAGTCATGATCCTGGGTGTGGGAAGAGCAGCATCTGTCCTGTTCCACACTTAGCAAGATGAAGATGGTATTTCAGGGTGGCTGATGTCATGTTGGGAAGGAAATGAAATGTTTAAATGTCACACAGATACCTCCAGTGATGGGAAGAGAAATTTCACAGACAATTAACAAATTGCACTGTTTGTTTGATCAGGTGGGCCACTGCCGAATGATCGGAGGCACAGCATCCTCTCCACGGGTACCCTGCGGGTGATGAGGGTAGCTTTGCATGACCAAGGCCAGTACGAATGCCATGCTATCAGCGCCATCGGAGTGAGGACCCTCCCGGTACAGCTGTCGGTGACCCCACGAGGTAAGCTGATGAGGCTGTGAGAAATAAGGGCTGGCAAACGGGTTCATTAAGTTAACATTATGGTATATAACACACTGACAAGGCAGGGAATTGCCCTCGTTCCTACGGGATGGGATTTTGCTTTTGCTTGGGAGCAGACGTCTAGCCCTGAGAGTTCCATCAGTTGGTGGGAAACTTTAAAGAGGTTTCCAGAGTGCCAAGATTTGTAAATTGGAAGAAGCTGTTTTATCTGGTAGTCTGTGATGATGATTCTAGGAAAAGTATAGCCGTGGGAATGAAACTCATCTGGTGTGGCCAGGGAATGGGATGGTATCGGTTGGCATCTGCACAAATGAACACTAGGGCAGGGTTCTGTGACGAGAAACAACCTTTAACACCCATCAGATGAGCGCTGATAGCTGGCCAGTTAGAGTGAAAAATGGGGCCCTGTAATGTGTTTGGGAGTTGTTATTAAGAAAACAATATTCGTAAAGAAAAGGAGAGGGAAAAAAAAGATTTTTGTCTGAGAATTTGCAAAAAAGTATATTCATTAAATTCTTAGTAATCTTTTTTTTATGATTTTTAAATTTTGACTTTCCTGTAGAATGAATTCTAAGATTCTTTTTAAAATGAAATATTCTGCAAAAAATCTGATTCCTTCTTAGAAAGATTTATCTGGCTCCAGATACGTTTGCCTTAAACATTAGCTGCCAGGTCATTGGTTCAACCTAAATTTAAGTACTCTAAAATCAAGCCTCTGTAAAATACAAGTCACACAGGAATGCTTTCATGGTTTTATTTTCTTTTCTGTTCCCATATAAATAATCATTCTAAATAAGCAAACATCCCTGCTTGTTCACAAACATGGCAGAATTTTACTAATGGTAGACTGGAGGGAAGGAAACTATCTAGAAATAATGAAATCAGATGCTTCAAGCACAGAATTCACAGAATATTTTAAGACCAACAAGATCAATACAATTGAATTAATTTAATCTGACCTGACTAACACTTGCAAGCGACCCTCATCCGATAATTCCTGAATCAATTCACTATCCTTGTTTCAGCTAGAGCATCTTTTCTAGAAAGCCTTTGAATTAACGATTTTTAAATGACAGAGAACCCAGCACATTCCGATGTGATTGCCCCAAGTAAAGACACATAGGAGCAGAAAATAATGAACGTAAATTACGGAGGACTTGGTAGAGAGACAGAGCATGAGTAAACTGACACTCCTTTGAAGAGCCCTTGCAACAACAGAAAGAGCCCAGCAGGTCTGGTTTCCCCACGCTGAGGTGTTTTGCATGCACGTTTCTCTGTTTTCCTCGATGCATTTCTTGCACTTGTGACATTTTCCCTGTGGTACACAGTGATCCCCGTGTTCCTTCATCCCCCTCAAGACGTGGTGGCAGAGACAGGCCAGGACGTTGCGATTACCTGCACTGCCCAAGGAGATCCTCGGCCCACCATAACCTGGGTCAAAGTAAGAGACGATATCGTGTATTCAGCAGTCACCGGGAAGCAGGATGGCTCCTCTGGGAGGGCATTAAGCAACTGTCTCGTTAAACACCTCTCCCAGCTCAACTAATTAAATCAATTTGTGCAACGCACATGGAAGAAATTGTGTTTGATGAAAAGTTAAGGACCAACATTTTCACTGATTTGGGGTTTTTAATGGTCTAAAAGAATGTTGCCCTTTCTCAGGCTCGAAGCCTTGCAACGCACATTCCTGTTTACTCCAAACAAGTAACTTGAAGCCAGTGACTTTCCAGGATGTTAGAAACGCTTGATTGAGTATTCCTGGAAAAAACTGAAAATGGATTTTTTTCTAAGTAGTTTGTCCTTATTTCCAGGATTCCCACTGGTGGAACTGGATGATGCTGGTTGGCTCCAGCTTTGATGGGGCAAAGCCACAATCCCTCACAATCACACTGCAGCCTGGCTGCTCTTTTCAAGAATTCATTCGATGAAGCTCTTCAGACTTTTTCCTGCTGTGCCATAGTACCACACCTGTGACCTTCACTGGGACCTGCCCTGCCTATGAGCACAGTCAGGCACAGAACAAATTAGAGGGGAAAATGCTTGAGCCTCAGTTACCCTCGTGGTCTCGTGGGAGGTGACCTTGTGGCTTGCCTTGGGCTCCAGCCAACAGTAGGAGCAGAAGAAAAGAGCCTGGGAGGGCAGCAGAGTAGGGATTAGATTGAGGCAGGGCAGCAGAAAGATGTTAAGAAATAGGAGAATAAAAAAGTAAAGCCTGAAGCCACCGGCCAGGTTGAGAGGTGGGGTTTGAGTGAGCTGCTCAGCACTTTGATCAGCAGTGTTGCCCAGAACAAAAGCTGGTATCTACAGTTCAAGGCCAGCAAAAATCCATCAGTCTCAGTTGTCCCAAAATGGAAGACTTTTAGACTTATTTATGTGCTATGAAACTTTCGTGACAGCGTCAGGGCACAGCACTCTCTCCAGCCAGCCCATCTGTAAGAAGCGCAGAGAAATGCGTGGGGTGTCTGTGCCCTGCAGTGAGTGCCTGGAGGTGGACCAGGGTGAAGGAGCTGGACAAGGACCTCCTCACAATGGGTCCAGGCAAGAGCAGATGTCCTTGGATGGCTTTCTGGTTTCTTTGGAAGAGCAATACTAACATCTAGTGGCCACGTCAGTTCATCGCAGCCGTCTGTGGGTTTGCTGAATAGACTGAAGGCTGGGCTGATGGGAGGCTTTCCGTACCTGACATGTTTTCTGTCTTTTGATGGTGCAACAGGAGGGTATCCAGATCACAGAGAGTGGCAAGTTCCACGTAAGCCAAGATGGGACCCTTTCCATTCAAGACCTCGGCGTGGCTGACCAGGGCAGATACGAGTGCATAGCAAGAAACCCCTTTGGCTTCACCTCCAGCGCTATGCAGCTCACCATCACCGGTAGGGTATCTCCTGTGGTCCTCTGGAGTCTTCTCATGCAAGGAGGGGCTGTGCTGCGTTGATATCTACACTTTGAACAGATAACTCTGTTATTTCTTTAGCTTCTTCACAGACAGGTCCCTCGCAGGCATGATTGGAATCCCTACGTTGTGTAAGCCCACGCACCTCCCAGCTGCTCCTCGCTGTTTTCTCAGCTGAGCTGCAGTCGCTCCCTGCAAAGCCAAAGGTGTTGTCTTAAACCACCTCCTGCAAGCCGAGCTGTCGGCGTGTGTGTAGTTACTGCTTCTGCTGGGAGGAAGGAACTTATTAAAATGTGCCAACACGCTCACAAGTCATCGTCTGACCGTAATCCTGCACGCCAGGGGAGGGAGAAGAACAACATTGTCACTGCAAATACGGGGTTTTAAATGTTTGCTTGGTCCCTTGGGGATGGGAAATAAGTCGCTCGTTTTCAAGCTAATGCTCCGTGCATTAGGCAAGCTGTAATGAATAAAGAGAAGTAGCACGCCTCTGCTAGTCAAACCAGAGGTCAAGAGTGGAAATTGGACTTAGAGGGTAGGGAAGAACTGGCAAGGATAAAAAAAATCAAAGGCAAGCAATAAGGTTAAAAATGGAGGGCTATTCCTCAAGCACGCAGGAATAACCAGCGTGAATAGTGGTAGCTTATTAGATGAATTTAGTATAATTTTCTATACAGGGATTGTATGCAAGGAGCTGAGAAAATCTGATATTTCTTTGTTGTTTGAAATTATTCCTAAGGTAATTTCTGTGATTTATTCTTGATTGGTACCTCATTTTCCAGCTGGCTGTTGCATGCACTGGTAGCCAAGTGGGATCTGGTTTGTTCAGCTGTGACAAAGACCCTGGCTTAAAAAATGCATTTTGTAGTAATTTTTAAGAATGCATGTGTTTACTTCTGAAGGTATTCAAACAAGAGCTTTCTTTTTTGTTTTAAAATTATGTATCTGATGTGTTAACACTAAAGGTGAACTGAATTAGAAGTGTTCCACAAATGGAAAATTAACGTATGACCAATACATTCAAATTAATTTCGTGAATTTTAGAAGTTTCTTTTGTGGGAAGTAAATACATTATTTTGGGTTAACACACTGTGATTTTTACATTTTCTTTTTCCAATTTAACTACCAACCAAAGCAGGCATTTATTTGCAAAGCTGTACAGGAGCAAACTCTGAATATGTGTTCCACAGTCATGTCCTGAAAAAGTCACCTTTTTTTTTGCAGGCAGTTAATTTCTTCTTCAGAATATCTGTTTTAAAAAATAAATTCATGGTGTTTATGTTGCAAATGGACACGCAGTTCGACCTGCAGTGGAGTTCCTTGTACTAATACACAGATTTTCTTGGGCTTGGAAAACAAGTTAATATCAAAGTAAATTTAGAATGTTTTGTTCTTTTTCTGCTTTGAAAAGCCACGGATGTCGGTCGGAGCGGTGACACGTTTGTAGCCACATCGATACGGGAAGCTATCAGCAGCGTGGACCACGC